GCCCCGTGTTGGGGTTTTTTAAGCCTGTTCTTTTGAAAATATTTAGGGGCCGGTGAGATGGCTCAGAAGAATAAGGGCTTGCCTGGCAAGCACAAAGGCCTGAGTTCAATCCCCAGTTCCACCAAAAAAAAGAAAAAGAAAATATTTAGCAGCGAAAATCTCTTTCCACTCACAGTTTGCTTGAATCTTAGAAATAGACTAAGGGGCCATGGATACAGCTCAACAGTGCAGCACCAGTCTGTCAAGCGCAAGGTCCTGAGTTTGATTCCTGATACAGGGTGGGGGAATAGACTGAAAATGTTTAATAGTCAAGTAATATGTGGCATTCAGTAAATAACTGTTGAATTAAATAGCTGATAATAAAACTTAGCTAATGATTGAAAAGTTCAGCAGGTTGGGCTGGTGAGATAGCTCAGAGAACTAAAGTGCCTGCCTAGGCAAGCTTAGGCAAGCGCAGGGACCATGGTTCAATCCCAGCACCACATGCCGTGCCAGTCCTGTCCCTAGGCAGGTTGGGCTGAGCTGGCCAGAGTCCAGGCATAGTGACTCATGCCTGTAATCCCAGCACTGAGAAGACTAAAAGCAGGAGGATCACTGAGTCTGTGCTGTGTATTGAGACCCTGCAACAACCAAATACATTAATAAAAATAAAAAAGATTGTCAGTGCCCCTGTGGTGGCACATGCCTATAATCCCTATGCTCAAGAGGCTGAGGCAGGAAAAGGGCCGTGAGTTCAAGGCCAGCCTGGGCTACCTATTGATTGCAGGCCAACCTGAACTGCATAGGGAGACCCAGTCCCAAGAACCACGTCGTGCTGCATGGAGATGGCATGTGGTAGTCCCCAGGAGCATTTGGTTCTCTGCATCCTTACGTTGTGACGCTCACAAGAGCCTGCGTTTCTCTCCAGCCCGGAGGCAAAGGGAAGCGCCTGCCGGAGGTGTACTGCATCGTGAGCCGCCTGGGCTGCTTCAGCCTCTTCTCTAAGGTGAGAACCTGGACTTCAGAGACAGCAGGGGGAAGCCAGCCAGGTGGGCTACACACCTGCCATCCCACACTCCGGGAGGCTGAGGCAGGACGATCACTCTAACTAACTTAGCAAGACTCTCAAAATAAGAACAAATGAGAAGAGGACTTGGGATGCACTGTAGTGCAAAGGCCTTGGGTCAATCCCCAGTACCAAGAAAGGCATGGTGTGGGGGTGGGGGGAGGGCGGGGAAGGAAGGGCTGGAGGGCCGGAGGGGACCCCAGCACCCCAGGCTCCTACTTCTCTGCAGTTCTGTTCCCCACCTATTTGCCCTTCCCATTCCCAACCTTGCCTCCTTCCAAGAGGAAGTAGGAGCCAGAGAGGAGGGAGAGGCCCAGAAGAGGAGCTGAGTGGGGGAGGCACGGATCCTACAGAATATTCCTGGAGTGTTGTTTCCTTCCTTTAGCATTGCCTTGTGTCATATTTGTTTCTGTTACAAAGAGGGCCCTGTGATCGATGTATGTTATGTGTATTTAGGTGTATATGTTTATTAAAATATTAATATAATTTAGGCCTCCTTCCTAGAAAATAAGACAGTATCAAGACAGGACTCAGGGGGCTGGTGAGATGGCTCAGTGGTCTAAAGCACCTACTTAGAACAAGCTTAGCAAAGCACAGGGACCGCGGTTCAATCCCCCAGCACCACATGCCAGCCAGCCCCACCTCCTGGTGGGCTGAGCTGGCCACACACACACACACACAAAATTAAAAAAAAAAAAAAAAAAAAAAGACAGGAATCAGCTCACGCAGCCCTAATTTTTTTTTTTTTTTTTTTTTTTTTTTTCTTTTTTTGGTACTGGGGATCAAACTCAGGACCTTGTGTTTGCCAGGAAGGCACTTAGCCACTGAGCTATCTCCCCGGTCAGCCCTAAGTTCTTGACTAGTACACAAGAGACAAATGCTGTTCTGTGTGGAGCTGATCTCAGCAGTTAGGTGTAGAAGTCTGACTGGTGCCAACCGCCTGTGATCTCAGCCCTTCGGAGGCTGAGGCAGGAGGATCAAAAGTTCAAGGCCAACCTGAATTACCCATCTCAAAAAAAAAAAAAAAGAAAGAAAGAAGTTAGGTATAGAACGCTTGACTAGGCTGCAGGAGGCCCTGGATACTGAAGGAAGAAAACATGTGTTAACCCAGTCAGTCGCCTGTCAGGGCCAAGACCCAAGGGGCAAGGCCGCCCTGCACCCTGCCAGAGTCATCAGCAGAGGGAGTGGCTGTGTAGAGGGAGAAGAATGGGGTGGTAATAGAGCCAGAGACTTGGGGTGTAGGTCCCTCCCTCAGAGCCACACCAGGCCTCATCCTCCACACTGAGCCTGGGCCTGGTCGCAGCTGGGCTGAGCAGCATTCCTGACCTTCACAGATCTTGGATGAGGTGGAGAAGAGGCGTGGCATCTCTCCAGCCCTTGTGCAGCCTCTCATGAGGAGCGTCCTGGAAGCCCCCTTCCCTGCTCTGGGTAAGACCATCGTGGTTAAGAACTTCCTGCCGGGGTCCGGCACGGAGGTGAGTGTCAGTCAGTTCCTTTCCTCTCCTGGGGCCCCATGGCACAGACAGGGATGCAGTGGGCAGAGGGGATAGCTCTCAGCAGGCCACCAAATGCTGTGCTCATAGTATGCAGGAGGCTGAAGCAGGAAGATCACAAATTTGGGCTCATCCCGATCAACTTCGTGACTTAGCAAGATCTTGGCTAAAAGAAACAGAAAAAGGGATGGGGATATATCTCAGCAAGAAGGTCCCTGGCTCAGTCCCCTATAATACTATAATACACACACACACACACACACACACACACACACACACTTTAAAAAAAAAAACAGTCATTGATGAATCTGCTTTTTAAAATTTTATTTATTTAGTTGTCTGTTTGACTCGGGTCTCATTATACAGTTCAGGCTGGCCTTGAGCTCACTTTGTAGCCCAGGTTGGTCTCGAACTCACAGTGATCCTCCTGCCTCAGCCTCCCGAGTATGGGGATTACAGGTGTGCGCTCCCACACTTGGCCTCATTGATGAATCTTACCTCTTTTTTTTTTTTTAAACATTTATTTATTTTGTGTGTGTGTGTGTGTGTGTGTGTGTGTGGCCAGCTCAGCCCACCAGGGGGCGGGGCTGGCTGGCATGTGGTGCTGGGAGATTGAACCGCAGTCCCTGTGCTTTGCCAAGCTTGTTCCAAGTAGGTGCTTTAGACCACTGAGCCATCTTGCCAACCCATGAATCTTATTTCAACCTGCTTGCATTTTGGTTTGCACCTGCATAACTTTAGCATTTAAAACAGATTCTTGGAGGGAAAGGCAAGCTGGGGTGCTGCTTTTGTTTTTGGTTTGGAGGGGTTTTTTTTGGGGGGGGCAGGGATTAAAGGCCCTTGTACTTGCCAGGAAGGCACTTACTCTACTGAGCTATCTCCCCGGCCCCTCAGGTGCTGTTTTTCATTGTCTCAAGCTTGACAGTTCATCCCCTCCTTGGCTGGGCTGACATGACAAAGTTTGTCTTTATCCTTCCCATTCCCGTCCCCCGGCCCCATGGATGCCGGGGACCGAGCCTGTCCAGCTAGGGTCTCCAGTTCCTTCCAGCAGCCCTGGAACCCAGGCCTCTGCTGGGGACATAGGAGGGCTCGGGCCAGGGCCAGGGCTTCAGGACAAGCTCAGCTTCCAGCACAGGATGCCCTGAGCAAATGCTGGCTAGGGCCCAGCCTTGGTGGCACACACCTGTCATGCAGCACTCGGGAGACTGAGGCAGGAGGATGCTACGAATTGGAGGCCAGCCTGGAATACATATGGATACTGTCTATGAATGAATGAATAAGTGAATGCTTGTTTGATTGCTAGGGGCTGGGGCAGGGCTCAAGGGCACAGCACTCACTTAGCATGTGCCAGGCCCTGGGTTCTGTCCCAGTGCTGCAAAACAGAAAAGAAAAAGGCAGTGCAGAGGAAGGATGGGATCCTGGGGGTGCTGCTGGGGTTACTGCCATGTCCTAGGACCTGGTTCCTGGCCATCCTGACCAGTTAACGGGCCTCTTGAGACACAACCCCCCGCAGAATCCATGGCCAGGACTGTCTTCAGCGTCACAGAGCGCTGTCCCGGGGAGCTCACTGCCATTTGGGGTCACTGCTCAGGATTCTGCCACTCAGTCACTGCCACTCGAACTGCTTCCCCACCCCCACGCCTCTCCCCATCTCCCATGCCCCCCCTGGGGAGGTCTGGTGGAGGGCAGTGCCCCCATAGTGGTGGTCCTGCTCCCGGCAGGTCATCGAGCTGTGCCGCCCACTGGACTCCCGGCTGGAGCACGTGGACTTCGAGTCGCTTTTCTCCGCACTTAGTGTCCGCCACCTGGTGTGCGTGTTTGCCTCGCTGCTCCTGGAGCGCAGGGTCATCTTCATCGCCGACAAGCTCAGGTACAGCACATCATCTGCTCAGGCATGGGCGACAGCAGCGTGGGAGCTGTGGTCAGGGCACAGAGCCCTGTTCCATGGGGGAGAACCAGAGACGGGTGCTGAGGATGGAGGCTCACAAGGGGCAGCTGTGGGGTAAACCAAGTTAGGCATGTTGTTAGGTGTGAGGAAAGGGGATCCCAGTACTGAGGATCATTAGTGACAGTTCTGGCAGATGTGGTGGTGCACAATGTAATCCTAGCAGTGGTAGGCTGAGGCAGGACAATCTCTGTGAGTTTGAAGCCAAGGGCAGCCTGAACTATAATAGTGAAGCCCTGTCTCAACCAAAATAAATGAAGCAACCAAACAGATCTCACATGGTCACACACACTGTTCATGGCCCAGGAGGGTGTTGTGGGGTCACAGTCTATGCTTCTGAAGGTCACATCACAAATCAAAGAAGATCCTGAGGGACCTGCAGGAGCAGTGCACCCCACTGGGCAAATTCTGACCCACTTGCCAGGAAAGATGCCCCCGCATCACATCATCTCAGAGCTCTGACCCAGAGCCAGCTTTGTTGGGGCCCCAAGGGCACACAGTGAGCACGGTGGCCGAGGCCCAGGAAGGGCCACCTGCGAGCTCATCCGGGGAGAAGACGCTGCCAGAGACAAACACGCTGAAGAGTGCTTGGAGGAGAAATAGGACTCTGAGCTGGAAAACAAAAGAGAAAGAAAAACAGGGTGAGAAGAATGATGAGGACCCACTGGAGCAGCGAGGAAGGAGCCCGGCCCACACCACGCTGGTTTCTCGCCTCAGCCTGCAGCTGCTGCAGGGGCCAGGCAGCCCTCCTGCCCGGAACACTGGGGGATCCAGAGGGGACTTACAAGCTGTCCCTGGAGGCAGGATGAGCAGTAACCTTCAGTGACCAGATTGGTTGCCCTGACACTGCAGCGACTGTCCTACTTGTCCCTAAAGGCCTTCTGTGTCTCTGGGCAGGGCCTGTCACAGACAAATGTCCCTCTCTGTAGGGTCACATAGGAAGGTCAGGAGGGTCAATCAGGGGACCTGGGCTCTGGGAGAAGATGAGGCAGTAGCCAGGCCAAGGCTGCACCGGCCCCCAGAGCTGCTGTTGTGAAGGACACAGGAAAAAGGGATTGCTGGGCCTCACTTTTTCCTCAGGCCCTCCTGTCCTGTCTGAGACAGTATACAGAGGTGAAAGGGTGCTCTGAGGAACCAACAGGAGAACCTGGCAGGTGCCACCTTGCATGAGCTGACTCTGGCCTGGAGGCAGCCTCTTCCAACAGCGCATGCCCAGGAAAGGAGCAAGTAGCTGGCTGTGGGTGTGGGCCTTTGTCACCGTGGTGTGTGACTGATGTGGACAGCACTGCAGAGATGGTTCTTTCTGGGAGGAAAAGTAAGAAGGAGAAGCAGGACTCCCTTGAGCGTTCTCTGGGGCCAAAGCATGGCCGTGGTACCCTGGGGATTGTGAGTGTGTGCATGTGTGTAAAGCGCTTTAGTTGCATTTTGAGGCCCTTTCTAGCTTCCATGGGTGCCATCCATCCTCATCACCCTGGAAGATGCCCCTGGATACCCCTCTGTCCAGGGACACCTTCAGGTCGGACATTGGTCCCCAACCCCGTCACATGGGTACTGCTGCGAGGACCCTGACCACACAAAGGTTCAGCCACTTAGCTCTAGGAAGAGAGAGCCAAACCCTTCAGAGGGTGGGAGGGACTGGCTGGGCCTCAGCAGTCTGGGGATGGGTGACAGGCAGGCTCCAGGGCCCCATCTCTCCACGTAGATATACAAGGAAATATACAGTGAGTGTTTCTCTTTTATCTATTTTTTTAAGATGGATTTTTTTGGGGGGCTGGCTCAGGCTGCTGAAAGGGAGGGTCTGGTAGCATGTGGAGCTGGGGATTGAACTGTGGTCCCTCATGCCTGACTAGGTTTGCCCACGCAGGCTCTTAAACAACTGAGCTAACCAGCTAGCCCCATTTTTTAATTTTTTATGTATTTAGTTCTTTAATCTTTTTGTTTTGTTTTTTGGTGGAACTGGGGATTGAACTCGGGCTCTTGTGCTTGCCAGGCAAGCGCTTACTCTACTGAGCCATCTCCCCAGCCCTAATCTTTTTTTTTTTTTTTTTTTTTAATTTTATTTATTTATGTGTGTGTGTGTGTGTGTGTGTGTGTGTGTGGCCAGCTCAGCCCACCAGGGGGCGGGGCTGGCTGGCATGTGGTGCTGGGGGATTGAACCGCGGTCCATGTGCATTGCCAAGCTTGTTCCAAGTAGGTGCTTCAGACCACTGAGCCATCTCTCCAGCCCCGGTGCTGGGGGATTGAACCGTGGTTCCTGTGCTTTGCTAAGCTTGTTCTAAGTAGGTGCTTTAGACCACTGAGCCATCTTACCAGCCCTGGAGTTGCTCTTTTCTGAGTGTCTTTAGAACTACAGTCAGAGGGGCCGGGGAGATGGCTCAGTGGAATAAGTGCTTCCCTGGCAAGTGCAAGGGCCTGAGTTCAATCCCTCATTCCGCAAAAAAAAAAAAAAAGAACTACAGTCAGAAATCTGGGGACTGCCGCTCCTGAGCGCCATCCGAGGAAATGACAACCTCTTAAAACCATGATTCAAAAAAAAAACCATGATTCCAGGCCCTCGTCCACCTGACTCGCTGGATCTGGCACCTTGGGACTTCTGCCTCTTCTCCAAAGTCAACATGACCAGGAGGGGGAAGTGTTTTGAAGTGGTTCAGAGCATCAAGGCAGCCTCAGCCGTGCAACTAAAGACAGTCTCAAAAGAGGACATACAGTAGCTGGGTGTGGTGGTGCAGGCCTATAACCCCAGCACTCGGGAGGCTGAGGCAGGAGGATCGTTGCAAGTTCAAGACTAGCCTGGGCTACAAAGTGAGCTCAAGGCCAGCCTGAACTGCATAGCGAGACCCTGTCTCAAAAAGACAAAAAAAAGAAAAAGAAGACATACAGAACGGCCTCAAAAAGCAGCAAGAGGACTGGTGAGATGGCTCAGTGGTCTAAAGCACCTACTTAGAACAAGCTTAGCAAAGCACAGGGACGGCGGTTCAATCCCCCAGCACCACATGCCAGCCAGCCCCGCCCCCTGAGTTCAATACCCGGTTCTGCCCCTCCAAAAAAAAAAAAAAAAAGTCTATCAAATGTAGAATAACAGGGCTGGAGAGATGGCTCAGTGGTCTAAAGCACCTACTTGAAACAAGCTTGGCTAAAGCACAGGGACCGCAGTTCGATCCCCAGCACCACATGCCAGCCAGACCCGCCCCCTGGTGGGCTGAGCTGGCCACACACACACACAATAAATAAATGTAATAAATAAAAATAAATAAATA